TTCCTCCAAAAAATAGGATTCATTTAAGTAATCTATAATTTTGAATAATAAAGTCAATTTCAACGAAACACGCCACTTATAATCCTAATATTGATACATAACTACGGTATTTTATGACTCAACCAGATTCATTTAAAGAAGATGAGCATTTCTTAAAATTTATGTGGACTTTGTAAAACTATTTGTATCGTTACGATTACATAAATTTTTCGCTTTATTTACTCTTAGTGATGTTATGCAACCCGAATGTACTGAAAAAAAGGTGCCCTTCGAAACTCTAAACAGTTTAGATTTTTGAAACGAAATCAAAACTCTTTTGAGCTTCGTAGAAAGTAAGATTTCGTAAGAGGCAGAATTCTTATCTGTTCCGGTGTGCGCCAGTGCAACAAGCGCAGTCGGTGTCAGTGTATGCACTGGTTCAGTGAACGCCAGTGTGACTTTATCGGTGATTAGTATACTGAAACTGCACATCCCTAGGTGACAAAAGTAACTAATAAGTGAATCTTCAGTACTTTTCTGTACTTTTATTTTTACATGGATATTTCCATTCCAACTTCGATCGAAGCCGGCAGTAATTCCACTTTGACTATGCTTATGAAGTATCAAACTTTACTTTAATTATGATGTAACAAGGAAACCGCTCCTCGTGTTGTGTTCCGATTCTCGTAGTTTTTCACCTATAGGTACTACATAATAGAGTTGTCATCAGTAGGGTTTTTTCCTTACCGATAACGGCACTGGCCTAAACCAGCCAGATCAGACCAGGCCAGTCGGCAAATCAGCATGAGCCATTTTCACTTTTCTCATATTGTGAGCGCTAAATCACTCTCTCAATTGGTCGTGTCTATATCTGAATCTCTATAGAAATTATGCTTGACTTCTGTTTCACTATTATACTGCGTTTCTGAGACATGGTTATTACTGAATGTTGAAGCATATGGCAAGAACATTTATCCCATGATGTGATGAATCAATTTTTGAAGCATCATGTCAAAGGTTACTTTTGCATTTATAGACAACGTAACTGGAAGTGCACCGCATCCAAATCCTGTCGAATCTAGACATTAGATTTGACTGGTTTGATTGGATTTAACTCGATTTGACCAGGATCTGACTAGTAAGTTTTTATCAAAGGTAATTGGGTCGGAGAATCCAAATCTGCTATCAGCTTCTCAAAATATTATCCTTGACTTCTCAATCTAGGAAGAGCTGTCGTAGGAAATTTCACCGAGAAATCCAGTGGATAATTTCGAAAAGTTGATAGCAAACTTGGATTTCCCGAATCCGATTACCATTAGTCAAACTCTATAAATTACACAGATACATGCGGATTCATGACTTGACACGTGCATGCAAACAGACAAGCATAGCCACAAATTCATTTTGTGTCCTATGACCCTCCCTTCAGTCGAGGCAAATAGTAGTTCACAAAGTCTCAATAGAGACAGAAATTCTTTAGAATTTTTGTTAGAATACTATATAGTAAATATGAACAAAAAATCATTGAAATCGGTACACGACACTGAGGAAAATACTCTTGTAAGTTGGTGCAATTCCACTACAACTTCGTTCATTAACCCTTTCAATTCCAACGTTTTCTCTCGTTCTATACAAAGTTGAAGAAAATCTAGATTTCTCTCTACCTTGAGTTCTTTTGTAGAAAATCAGTTGCACATGAATTCTAGCTACACTAGCTCAGTACGAAAAGAAAAATATTGTCGCAGCGAAGAATACATGCGCTTCTTTGAACACACATATTATGTGTATCATGTAGGAAGACGACAGAACGCAAAATTTCTATATTACGATATGCATGTCATCTTGTAGATGACATGCGAGATTGAAAGGATTAATGAAGTAAACTATACAGTTAAATCCAATTCCGAGTTGAAGTGGTACATCTTTATAAAGAGTTAGTCCTTTTACATAAATAGTAACGTAGGATATATGGAGAGCGATTGAAATAACTACATCAGTCCATCACTGTTACTTTGATGTCTTTTTACAATTACATTTCTTAAACTTCTGTTTTCTTGAAATATTTCTAGTTTTACTATTTTTAGATGTGTATAAATGGAGATGAGCAGTCTGACCGGAAGTCCCATTCATTTTTTTTTATTGTAAGGATAAAACATACTATTATTCGGGTCATATGAGAGAGGATACCACATAACCTTGGATTGGCCCGAACAATACCATGTTTTATCCTTACAATAGTAGAGAAAAGCTACCTGTTTATCGTGTGACCTGGTAGCTTTTTTCTATTATTGTAAGGTTACAACATGGTATTGTTCGGGCCAATCCGGGGTTATGTGGTATCCTCTCTCATATGACCCGAATAATAGTATGTTTTATCCTTACAATAAAAAAAATATTAATGGGGCTTCCGGCCAAACTACTCATCCCCAAATAATGAAGATGTCTGTCTTCGTAACAGTAGAATCATCGTCTACTGAAGTTGATAGTTCCTCGAAAAATAATAAATGGTCTTGATTGTTCTATAAAGCGTCAAAATGATTATAGTTCTATCAATTTCTAAGAAAGTATGTAATATGGGAGTGACAGCGAGCTCGATAATTCATCTGTACTGTGGATGTAAATTCTTAGTTTTAGATCTGGAATTCCCAGAATTACA